AGCCAGGGTGTGCTACTCTACAGCGGCTCTGAGGAAACGCCTCATGTCTGTGAGTGTTCACATCCCTGACTAAATCAATGAGAATTTATAAGTGTGTGTGCATAGGCATTTGTGTGTGTATAAATCTCCCATTTTTAAGCAATGTGTAGACTGAGAAAATTAAAAACAGTCTTAGGCTGGGCATGGTGGTTCATGCCTATAATTCTAGCATTTTGGGAGGTCAAGGTGGGAGGACAGCTTGAGCCCAGAAGTTTGAGACCAACCTGGGCAATACAGTGAGACTCTATCTCTATAAAAAAAATAATAAAAATTAGCCAGGCATGGTGGTACATGCCTGTAATCTTAGCCGAGATGGGAGGATTGTCTGAGCCCAGAAGATCAAGGCTGGGGTGAGCCAGGATCATGCCACTGTACTCCAGTCTGGGCGAGAGAGTGAGACCCTGACTCAAAAAAAAAAAGTCTTTTGTTAGTACCAGGCATTTGATATTTTTACCTTTTGTCTTGGTTCAGTTTTTTCATTTTTTGTCATTGCTCTATAGAAAATTGAATCTTTATGTTCTCTTGCTTGGAGAGTCCATGGCCACTATGGAGGATGCCAGGAAGGCAGGAGCCTCCAGAAAAGCCAGCCAGGGTGTGCTATCCTACAGTGACTCTGAGGAAACGCTTTGTGTCCATGAGTGTTCACATCCCTGACTAAATCAATGAGAATTTATAAGTGTGTGTATTATATCAATCCTTCCTTCTACAGCTTCATGCCATGCTTTAGAGAAAGCTTGCCCATCTGAGTTCATGCAAACCATTCATGTGTGCTTTCTTCTGGAACTTTCATGGTTTATTTTTTGAAATTTTAAGACTCTTAAGTTTTACATCTCACAGTTATGGATTCTTTTATTATAAACCATTACTCACCCAGCTCTATATTTAAGTCATTTACTAAATAATCCAACAATAGGCAATATGTAGTATATCTTAAATTTTCATATATGAACATATGTGGACTCGGCTTGTTCCTTTAATGTATTCCTGCATCAGAATTGTTTGAATTATACTAGCTCCATAGTATCTATAGTAGAATATATTTTATAAATCTATAATAGAATAGATTTTATTAATGCAGTCTTAAAATAACATTTTCAAGTATAGAAATGCCACTTCAAGTATATAACAAACTTTGTGACATTTAAATGATTTTTAAAAATTTTTATTTTAAAGATGAGTACAATTCAGGGTTAGGTATACAAATAGTCATTGTACAGGTAAAGTTTAGGCCTTACTTTGGTCCTCACTTGACCTAGTTTGAGATCAGGTACCCTTATTGATGAAGTGTGTCCCCAGTCAGTTTCCTACTACTGCCAATCCCTTTCTTATAGTATTATGATAATTGTTTAGGGTCCACTTATGAGTGAGAACATGTGGTACTCAGTTCTTTGTTTCTGTGATAGATCACTGAGTATGATAGACCCTAAATCCATCCAAGTTGCTGTGAAGTTCATAATTTTGTCCTTCTTTATGCCTGTGTAATATTCCATCATGCATATGTACCACTTTTTAAAATCCAGTCCACTTTTGATGGGCAGCACAGTTGGTTCCATGGTTTTGCTATTGTGAATAATGCTACAATAATTCGAACCAATTCACAAAATGTAGATACAAATCTATAACTGGATTTGATTAAATAATTTTTAAAATTTCAAATAACAGGGAAGTGAATGTGGTAGTTGTGTTCAAACTCTTGTTTGCATCAGATCAGGCAGTGTACATGCTAAAATACAACAGCTAAATCTCCTCCCCCTGTCCAGGACGTCTGACTCATAGGAAGAAAATGGGTCCCGCTTCTTGTACTCATTCAAGGTGATTTTCATACAACTAGGCTTACATGTCCAGGGTAAGGTTTCTAATGTCAAACACCTCTCAACAAAGAATGGCTAAAATAAAGGCTTGTCTTCTTAATGGATAGCAAACTACCTCAAGGAAAATTAAACCCATCACCAGTGATGTTTAGAGTGTTTCTATTGATTGATCAAAGTCTTCTTCTATTTATACATTTATAAAAATTTGACTTCAAAAGGGAATCACATCTTTTCTAGATAATTTAAAAATAATATTTTCATTTAAAAAGTAATGCATGTTCATTATGGAAAATACATAAAGTAAAAAGAAGAAAAATAAAAATAATTCACATACTACCACCTAGATATGGCAATTATTAATATCTGTCATTCTTTTCTAAATTTTAAATATTATAACTTGTATTTTCAAAGAATTTAAAGAGAACAGAAATGTTTCTGTTCAATACTGTATTGGAAGTACTAAATAAAATATTTTTTTAAAAGAAAATCTAATTTAATATGGAAAAAAAGGAAGTCCTAAGCAATAAGATATATATTCAAAAGATAGTAAATAATTGAAATGAAGAAGTGAAACTATTTGCAGGTGACGATTAGTCTATTTACTTAGACTATCCAAGAGAATCTATGGAGCTCAGGGCCAAGAATAACCAACCGTGAAGAAGAACAAGGTAGTAGGATTTGCCCAACCTGATATGAAGAATTATCATAAAGATACAGTAATCAGGAAGCAGGAAGATATTGCAACAAGACTTTTCATGGACTTTGACAACGTGACTTAAAACTTATAAGAATAAGCTAAAGTCCCAAACAGCCAAGACACTTATGATAGAGATGAACCTTACCAGACTATTAGGTACACTAATTAAGGTGCTGTAATACTGGTACAAATATGGACAAACAACCCAATCGAAAAGAAAAGGAAGTCCCCAGATATATCCACCATACATGGAAAAAAATTGATACTTTACAAACCTTGAGAAATAAGCAATAATTGTGCTGGGGCAACAGGTTATCCACACAGAGAAAAACTTAAATACTTATTTTAAATCCCATTCTCTAGATGCTCCTGTGCATCTGAAGTACTTCATAATAAAACTTAGTGACTAAATGCATACACTAAGACCTGTTTGTACCTGCAAACTACCTGCCAACAATCGTAATTTCATAAATTGTTCTCCTTTCCAGGATCCCAAGGAACTGTGAGATGACTTAAGTAGTGCATGACTTTATTTTAACAACTCTTAAAATAATATGGCTATCCTTCTCAAAATACCAATGACATTCCTTACAAAAACAAAAAAAAAAGTCCTAAAATCTACTTGGAACCACACAAAATCCCAGATAGCAAAAGCAATCCTGAACAAAAAGGAAAAAGGCACCATATTACCTGATTTCAAATTATACTTCAAAGCTACAGTAACCAAAACAGTATGGTGTTGGCATAAAAAAGAGATGCATAGGTCAGTAGAACAGATTAGAGAACCCAGAAATAAATTCACTCATAGCCAACTCATTTTTGACAAAGACACCAAGAACATCCTTGGGGAAAAGTCAGCTCTTCAACAAATGATGCTGGGAAACTGGATACTCACATGCAGAAGAATGAAACTAGATGCCCATTTCTTACCATATACAAAAATTAACTCAAAATAAATTGAAGACCTGAATGTGAGACCTGAAACTATGATACTAACACAGGAAAACCCTGGGGAAGTGCTACAAGGACACTGGTGGGTCTGGGCAATATCGTGTATCAGAGCTCAGAAGCACAGGCAACCAAAGCAAAGGCAGATGGGTAGCAGCAAGTTTGAAAGCTTCCACAGCAAAGGAGACAGCAGCAGGGTGGGGTACAACCTGAAGAAGGGGAGAAGAGATTTGCAAATCATGTATCTGACAAGGGATTAATAACTAGAGCAAACAAGAAACTCAAACAACTCAATATCGGAAAACCAAGTAATCCAATTCAAAAATGGGCAATGGGCCAGGCACCTGGCAAGTGGCTCAGGCCTGTCGTCCCAGCACTTTGGGAGGCCAAGGTAAGAGGACTACTTGAGCCCAAGAGTTCAAGAACAGCCTGAGCAATACAGCAAGACCTTGTCTCTACAAAAATAAAAAGAAAATTTAGCCAGATGTGGTAGTGCATGTCCACAACCCCAGCTACTTGGGAGGCTGAGGTGGAAGGATTGCTTGAGCCCAGAAGGTGGAGACTGTAGTGAGCCATGATTGTGCCACTGCACTCCAGCCTGGGTGGCAGAGTGAGACCCTGACTCAAAATCAATCAACAATCCATCAGTAAAACAAACATGGGCAAAAAGTCTGACAGACATTTTTCAAAAGAAGACACACAAATGGCTGTCAGGTATACAGAAAGACAAAAAACAACAAATGCTGGCAAGAATATAGAGAAAGAAGAGTGCGGGTCACTGTGGTGGGCATGTAAAGCAGCACAGCCATTATGGAGAGCAGTAAGGAGGCTCCTCAAAAAACTAGCCCCAGAACTACCATGGGATCCAGCAATCCCACCACCAGGTATAGGTCCAAAAGGAGGAATGAGTGCATCCAAGAGACACCTGCACACACATGCTCATCACAGCACCATTCACAGGGGCCAAGATACGGAGTCAAGCTTAGCGTCCACTAGTGCATGAATGGATAAAGAAAATGTGGGCTCTGTATACAGTGGAATATTATGCAGTCATGAAAAGAAAGAAATCCTGTCATCTGCAGCAACATGAATGGAACTGAAGTAACCCAGGCACAGTAAGAAAAACATCACATGTCCTCACTCGTATTTGGGAGCTAAAAGCAGGTCTCATGGAGGTAGAGGTAGAATGGTGTATCCAGGGCTGGGGAGGGAGGAGAAGAAGGTGAAGGGGTACAAAAAAAAATAAGATAGGAGGGCTAAGTTCTAGTGTTCAACGGTACAGCAAGAAAATGAGAATGAACAATAAATAATTGTATATTTCAAAATAGCTAGGAGAATCATACTGTTCCTAACACAAAGGAAAGATAAATGTTTGAGATAAATATCCCAATTACCCTGATTTGATTAGTGCATACTGTATACAGCTGTTAAAATATGACATGTACCCCCAAATATGTATAACTATTATATATTAATAAAAATAATAATTATAAAACAATTCTTACCTCATGAATTCTGGCAATTCCACAGAGCAGGGTCACTTCTCCTGGAAACTTATCTAAGCCTTGTTTGAAAAGATTCAAAGCACTCACAGGCTGATCCAATGAGATGTAAACCTAAAAGCAACATACAGTTCAATAAAAATATATATTTTAAAAATAATTGTCTTGGACTTTTTTCTGCTTTTAAATAATAGTATTTGCTATGACAAGTTTATAATTGCTGATTAGTAACAAATTATCTCCTAGATATACAGTAAAAAATATTCAGAAATATGCACAATTCACTCCCAATGACGATGTTATTGCTTTATCACCACACATGTTGTATATGAAGCTTCATTTCCAATAACATCCTTTCCAATAGTGTTCATTCACTTATTCCTCCAACAAATGTGTGTCGTGGGCTTACTGCTGTCACAGGAACTGAGCAGTAGCAAGATGAGAAAGCATCAAGAGAGAATCTTTGGGACAGAACTGACAGGGGTGTGTCTACAGATAAGCAGGAAGGCATTAATTAGGAGACAGACGTTGAAGATAGATGCTTGAACAGGGGACCATGGAACAACGCCTGAATGAGAGCAGCTGTAACAGGGTGACGTGGGAGAAGGCCCCACATCAGAGAGCTGAGCAAGTTGGCGCCTAATGGCTTCTACTTACTTAGCAATTAGGACATTAGTACGGATCAACCACATCCTTAAATCTCCAAAACAGAGAACTGTGATTTTATGTATGAAAACAGGAGATTATGACACTTTTCTTCATGGTTTTGGACCCACTTTCTAAACAGCTAGTTTGTGCTTTGAAAAATGCCCAGATGGATACAACAGAAAACTGTTTGTATTATTTGTCACTAAGAAACTGATAGGAAGAGGGGTATGGATAAGAACTTCTTAATTTTTACTTAGACGCTTTGGAACTGCTTTATAAAATATAATAAATAACATATTAAGTAATATTAAATATTTAACGATTTTTAAATTAACAATTAGAAATTCTAAGAAACTATGTTGTTCCTAAAATCTGCTTGATTTCTATTACATAGCAACCATCCCCTCATATAGTAAAGGCAACATGTAAGTTTCACCCTGTTACAGCTGTTCTCATTCAGGCCTTGTTCCATTGCCTATAGTCATATAGGCAATAATGGATTTAAACAAGTCACTGTATGGAAGACTAGGTAAAACCATGCACTTAACAACAGTTAAAAAAAAAACAACTCATTTTTGCAACCACAAGGTAAGTGATTATCAAAAAGAAAATGACAGTCAAATACTGTGACCTGAGCCTTCATTTTAAGCTGCTTCTTTCCAAAAAGTTCACTGTGATGCTCAGAAACTTCAAGAATTTGAGCTGAACATATAATGTGCAGAAAATAACTTAGATACAAATAGAAACCACAATAGACATACTAAGACCAGTGCAGTAGATTTGATATGGTACAACTTGCATGTTGTTTCTTTGGGGTACGTTCATTTTTATTACCCTATTTAGGAACTAGTGGCCCTTCCTTTAACATCTCAGTTTCTTTTGAATCACCTTTACTACATGTTTAAATTTTAAAAACTCTTAAAGAAGATGGGGTACAGTGGCTCATGACTGTCTTCCCAGCACTTTGGGAGGACAAGCTGAGAGGATTGCCTAAGCCCAGAGTTTCTAGACCAGCCTGGGTAACTTGGTGAGACTTCATCTCTATAATAAATCAAAAAATAAACCAGGCAAGGTAGCGTGCACCTGAGGTTCCAGCTACTTGGAAGGCTGAAGTGGAAGGATCACCTGAGCCCAGCAGGTTGAGGCTGCAGTGGCTGTGAGCATGCCATTGCACTCTAGCCTGGGTAACAGAGACCCCAACTCAAAACAAACAAACAAACAAAAAAACAAAATCTCTAAAAGATACAACAAGAAGATGACATAACTACCACTTCACCATTTGTTTTTCGTTCAAAGTGGTCTTGACCAGCAAGGGTTAAGAAGTAACTTTATCTCAATACTGAAGAGTCTAGCTGGCCCTTCACTTCTGCTGTGGCTGTGGGTGACACCACGTGGCAATGAGTAGGCTCTGGATTCAGAGAGATGTGGGCTTGAATGCTGGCTCTTAACCCTGAAAACTGCACCCTCTTCAAATCTTATCTTCCTGAAGAGTACAAAGGAAATGATAAAACCCACCTTGCAGGGTTATGGGAGGGACAGATTGAACTGCATATATAACAAACATGACAAAATGTTTTACACTGAGTAGTTGCTCAATAAACGAGAAGTATTTTTTACATTAAAGCAGAACTGAGTAATTCAGGGCCCACACAAACATAGTCTCTATTCCCCACAACCTGCTCAGGTGGGAGACCAATGGGTTGTAGAAAAAGATGCCTCTCTGGGACCTGCTACTGATGGGGGTGGTGGCCGACAGTCTTCTCTTCTATACTAATAGGCAATATTTCAATCCTATTTATCATGGCAATCAACTTCTCCTGAGACATTACCTTCCTATGTTCTACCTGTTCCCTTGCTATAAGGAAAAATAAGTCAAATCGGAATATAGGTTGCCCAATACTCCTGAAGGAACTGTCAACTCTTCCCCTGCAATGGCCAGAATTTAAACATTTATTCCAGGAAGACAGATTTCACTCAAATTAAGACTTACTTACTTTTGCCAAGTAGAGAAAAGTATCTACCATTTCCTGCTGCTTCAAGGCTGATTTAAACTGTTTTTCTGCTTCACGATACATTCCTAACCTACAAACAGCAATTTGAAAAATTAGACATTCCACTTAAAAATAAATACCACATCATGCCCTGAGGCTATGAATAGAGACTAGTTATATCTAGGAGAGTAAGCGCACACCAAAGAAGGCCACGGTCCACACACATGTTAACATCGTGTGCACATGGCTTAACAGCAAGCTGCCTGCCTCCCATATTCATGGGTCCTGACCCCCAGATGGGAGTGAAGACTACAGCTGAAGCCTTGTCACAGCAGGACTAAGACTAATAGCTGCCAGTAAGCCAGGTCACCTCAGTTCACCACCCAAAGAGCTTATGATCAGTTGGACATATGGCCAGTGACCTGAATAAATGCTCGAGTCCCCATTTTACTGGAATAACAAAAAGATGACATTTCCTTGAAAACATCATCTTCTCTGAGAAAAAATGTTCATTTTAAAAGTCCATATCCTTAAACTTGTTTGATATAAGTAACAACTGCCACTTGAGTGACATAGCCATGCCACTGTATTACTCTAGGAATCTTTTCTCTTTTTCTTATTTGAGATCTGATTCTGAGAGTCCTAGTCTACAAATCTGAGATTTATTCAAACCGTTCTGATACCAGTGCCCATCTCTTCTGCCCAGGACATATTTTTGTCACCACTAAGCCAATCATTAAAACATACATGGGGCCAAGCATGGTGGCTCAAGCGTGTAATCCCAGCACTTTGGGAGGCCAAGGCGAAAGGATTGCCTGAGCCCAGGGGTTGAAGACCAGCCTGGGCAACTTGGTGACACCTCGTCTCTACAATAAATCAAAAAATTAGCTGGGCACGGTGGCACATGCCTGTAGTTCCAGTTACTTGGAAGGCTGAGGCAGAAGGATCACCTGAGCCCGGCAAATTGAAGCTGTGTTGGCTATGGGCAATGTGTCTTTGCACTCCAGCCTGGGTGACAGAGTGAGACTCCAACAAAAAAAAAAAAGCCAAAAAACCCCCACGCATGGCTCTTAATTAGCCTGTCCTTAGTAGACCTGTGAGGATTTCTCATAACTATTCACTCCTGGCCATTTAAGAACTACTTAGATGTTTTACTTTGTGAAATAAAATCAGAATGATATACAATATGTTCTGCTGTGCTATGTTCATTTAAAGACTTGAAAAAATAGCACTGATCTTTTTTTCATAAGCTAAACCTTAGGCACTGGTGTGGCTGATACCCACACAGCTGTTGTAGGCCTTGGGATTAAAGTGATTAAAGGTGACTCCAGAAGACTAGCCTACAGTTAGAAGATGTGGGATGTGGCAGAAGCCCCTACCTCCTCAAAGGTGCCATACATTTCAAAACAAGTATTTATAAAATGTTATCTAAGAACTCTACAGTGCTAAAAAAAAAAATCAGATGTATGCACATGACATCAACTGAGCATGCAAGTCATAAACATGTGACTGAAATATAGTCACTGAATCCGTGAGGTCAAACTATCTATAAGAGTCTGTAAATTTTTATCTAATAACTTTCCTCTTTCTAAAAATAATTTAAGGGAGATTATAATAAAAGATATATATAAAACAAAACTATGAAAATAGAAATAGATTTTTTAAAAACAATGGAGAAGGAAGGATAAACAAATTAAACAACAAATGAAAACACAATCAGATATATTGACCTACATGGAAGCCAAAGGCAAGAAGAAAAGATGAACTGTATCTTTTTATTACTACATACTCAAGAGATAACTTCTAGTGCTGTCAGAAAGGAATTTACCGCATGGATTCTTGTGCAAAGAAGACAAATGGGCCACATTCAAAGAAAGTCTGGGAATGATAAAATATCATTCAAGTTCATAAACGCAAGCCAATGTCAGGGTCAGACTTAGCCACCCCTGCCCCCCAAAGTTACCAACTTCGTCTCTTCCATTTAAGTCAATAAAATTGTGAAATATCAACTGCATGCACATTTCATGATGGTGAGGAGACATGAAACTGAAGCAGGTAACAACCATGTCCTTAAGGTGATGATCATTAGAGAGTGACAAGACAAGTTCACAAATAAATTTAATTGTATTATGGCCAATGAGGAAAAAAAGTGCTTAAAAGCAAAGGAGGAAGCAAACCAAGAAAGTGACAAACTATATTTTAGCTAAACTGGGGGCGCAGGGGCACTTCCAGATGGAATCAAGCTCTGAGTTTGAGCACACAGGCAGGGACATGCACAGCATGTCATGGAAACACCAAGGGGTTTGGTCTCATTGAAACAAAGGCCATAATAATGCTGGCCAGGCATGGTGGCTCACACCAGTAGTCTCAGCGCTAGAGAAACAATATGGGATTATGGGCATAGTAAGAGAACTGAGGCCAGAAAGCTGAGCTCTAATCCCTGCTCTGCTACTCACCAGCAATGTGAATCTGGACAAGCCACTTATCTCTGAGGCTCAATTTTTCTCATCTGGAAAAAGGGCTAATGATAGTCACTGCCTCAGAGCCACTGTGAGTTTTAAGTGAGATCACCAACAACATTCGGACAAACTCTCTCTTAACCATCAAGCGCTTCACAGATGTGAGGCACCCATGTATATAACAAGACTTGAGCATGAAGAGAACAGGGCTAGCAACCAGCAGACTCCAGTCCCAGGTCTGTTTCTAACTAGCTCCAGGGGCAAATCACAGCCATTCTCTGGCCTCAGCTTCCTCATCTGAAAAGGAGTATCCAGCCTGATGATCTCAAAGCCTCCCCCTCCCACTCTAAACCGTTTCAGCCTGAAAGACATCACGTTGTGTGTGTGTGTGTGTGTGTGTGTGTGTTTTGCTTTTACTTTTGTTTTTTCTGAGTCAGAGTCTCACTGTGTCACTCAGACTGGAGAGCAGAGGTATGTTCATGGCCACTACAACCTGGATCTGCTGGGTTCAGGTGATCCTTCCACCTCAACCTTCCAAGTAGCTGGAACTACAGGAACACAGCACCATGCCTGACTAATATTTGGATTTATTGTCGAAACGAGGTCTCGCTATGTTGCCCAGGCTGGTCTTGAATTCCTGGGCTCAGGCAATCCTCCCTCAGCTTCCCAAAGTGCTAGGATTACAGGCGTGAGCGATCGCACTTGGCCAGGCATCAGTTCTTATTGCTACATGTGATGGTTAAGTAAATGCTTTCTCAAGTAAGCCAAAGACACAATTCTCACTTCTTCATGACAAAACCTATCCAAAAAAGAAAAGTCCCAGACTTGAGACCCTAAGCCACATGGCCAATTCCAAGCCCACCACCAGTCATTGGAGCTTTACCTGTGATAGCATTTCCCAATCTGCACCTTCCACCACCAGTCCTTGTACTGAGAGTGCTCCGTGGACAGCGCAGCCAGGTCCAAAGCCTGGGAAAACAATTCACTTTAGATTAGTATTTTCATTTCTAACAATAAGCAGTCAGAAACATAAATTAAAAAATAAAACACATTACTAGCACCCATCAACACATGTGTTTGAAATCAGGCAGGAACTCAGGTTGCTCCTGTTCCCAGATGGCCCAGCCAATTTCCCTAATCAGTTCCCGACCGGAGGGCTGCAGCAGATGAGACAGAAACGCTGATCACAGGAAGCAGATGTCCAAACACTTGAGTCTGATCTTCATGTTCAAGGCACACAAGACTAATAGGAAGAAATGCTTACCTTTTTACCGCCCCCTCCCCCATGATTCAAAATGCCTCCAGGCTTGGTGGCGATCAAGCCTTCAGTGAGTAAGTCACAGTCTCCACTTTAAAGACAGAGGTAGAGAAGCAGAGAAAGGCTGAGTGGACAGAGAAAAGGTTTGAAAAACAGGATCCCAAGGTGGAACAAGAACAGGTGGGATGTGTAGGTGACTGTCGTCTTAGCAACCATCATTCCATTTTTTGGGCATCACCATCTGTCTCAGTAACTCTAAGGGTCACACTTCCTTTGGTCGCAGACTAAAAAGATCTCAGCTTCTTTCGTATTTTATATTAGTTTATCCCACAGCTTTAATATCCTCCGGCTTGCTCCTTCTAGTGTTTATTTAAGATGAGACAGGAAATTACTAAGTAGGAACAGGGATTTTTATTTTTTTAATGATTTCTGAGGAAGATTTATTTTATTTTGTAAGAGGTTTTTATTTTATTTAATTTTAATTTTATTTTATTTGAGATGAGGTCTCACTATGTTGCCCAGGCTGAATTCGAACTCCTGGGCTTAAGCAATCCTCCCACTTTGGCCTCTGAAAGTGCTGGGATTACAGATGTGAGCCATTGTACCCAGTCTGGAACGGATTTTGTACAGAGGAAGTGAACATTGTTATTGACAAAGGGGAAAATAAGTCAGTCTTTACATCAATGCGAAGCTCATATAAAGATCTCCATGTAAAGATTTGATGAAAAGACGCTGGGGTTATTAGTTAAAAGATAAATGACATTTTATAATACTTATTCTTTTTCTCTCAAGGTTGAAAATGTTTTAGTCTTGGGCTAGTGTTAATATGATCGCAACATCCAAAAGCTCCATTAAGCAACTCTTAGGTTTTTCAGTTCTATTATCTCAAAATATACCCTAAATTACTGTCCACTTCTGAATATTAACTCCTCTCTGAAATGAATGCCAGAAGAGTTCCTTGAATCTCCTGCTGCAAAATTAATTGTTTTGCCTTGTGTTCTGTCTTCTCTTGCTCCAGGAGAGACCTCTAAATATGCAAACTGCTATGAAGCAGTGGTGCCACCATGCTGAGCCACTAATGGATTTGAAAAGTCAACAAGTCTGCTTGAAAGCTATGGAAATTAGAACAAGCCACACACCACTTTCATGTGCTTATTTTTCTCCCCTGCCCTTACCAGAAATAAAAATGAAAGCAAAAAAATGAAAAGTCTAATTTCAATTAGCATTGTCTCTGGAAATATTAGGAAAAGGTATGTTCAATCTTGCCAATTCAGGCATGCTTGGTAAATATCTAAACATATTAACTGCAACTTAATCTTTTTTTAAAGACTTTTTCCAGAAAATAGATCATATTCACTCTTGTGTTTAATATGAAGAGAAGTTCTCTTTTTCAGAAAAAGATGTCATTCAACATTAAAAAAAATTTTTTTTTTTTACTAACTTCCCAAGGTTAAGTTTCGTGCTTGTTACAGGCTACTGGTGTTGCTTTCATACATGATCTTGAAACATGTCTTTCTATGGAGGGCCTGTAGGTTTGTGTGAATTCAACTTAAGATATTAATATAAATTACTGATACAGAATAAAAACAGTTAAAAAAATTGTACTTTAATAGTCATTCTTCAAATGAAGACTCAGGCTACACTAGAAAAAAACAATGTGACAAGGTTAAATGGCCCCTAAGCTCCCTGAGGACAGACACCTGCCTTTCACGTCTCTGCTGTTCTGGAAACCGCTCTGTACATAAGAGGCACAAACCTGTCATAGTAATAAAATGCATCGTTAAAAGCTATTAATATTTAAAATTGTTCAGCAGGGTATGATGGCTCATGTTTATAATCCCAGCACTTTTTGAGACTAAGGCAGGAGGATAGCTTGAGGCCAGGAGTTCAGGATCAGCCTGGGCAACACAGCAAGACCTCATCTTTACAAAAAATCTAAATTACAAAAAAATCCCAATTTTTTCAAATAAAAGACTATTCACCTAAATTTAAGAATCTTTGAATAATTTAATAAAACTAAAATCTAGATATTAATAAAAACTTATAATGTCATTTTAAAGTAATAAAAGTCGAAGAATGAAAGGAATCTGGATAGGTCTAGGTTTTAAAAACAGTCATTCTTTCACTATAGTTACAGTTGTGACAATTTCGGGACGATGAAATGAAAGAGCACATAGAAACAGATTCCAGAATTGCCACCCACTGCCACGTGGCTTCCGCAAGTGCTGTCAGTGCTGCCCTCACCAGAAATAAAAATGAAAGCAAAAGAATGAAAAGTCTAGAAAGGGAAGTGCAAGAACAGGAGGTGTCAGCCTTGAAGTGTGGGAACAGAAGGTATCACCCTCCACGGTTTTCCTAACATTCAGATACCCTTCCCGGCAGTCTCTATAGTGACCTGCGTGTGCTCCCCACTTCCAGATAAATACAGCATCGCCCACCCACACACCACCTAAGTTTTGCCAATACGACCCCTCCAAGACGAGAAAAGCACTAATAAAAAGTACTAAAATAGAAACAGAGTTCTCCATGGAAGGTCACTTTTACTCTTTCTTAACATTTAAATGCCACAGTATTTTGTATATTTGTCTATGGTACTCCATACTTGTGTGTGATACTGTCTTAAGAAATCTGAAAGTTACTCAAGGCATCTAATATAAAAGCATCTCTGACTTCTTCAGCATGTTAAAAAACACAATTTCTTTTTTTCTTTTTTCCAGTCTAAAACTGTAATGTAGAAAAATGCATGCTTTGAACTCATTATCTAAACCCTTCTTCCATTCAGAAAATAACATTTGTGGTAAAAGGGAAAATAACATTTTAATGGGACAATCTGATCCACAAGAGTAAGACAGACTAAGAAAATAGACCGAGGCGCCTGTGCACCTCAGCACTCCCAGCGCCTGTCACAGCACCTAATAGGTGACTTTAGCAGTATTTGTTTAAAGAATAAACGGATCAATTAATAAATCAGTAAATGAATCAGTAAATAAAATGCAAAACAGAGGAGCCAACAATTTCTGCTTTTCACTGAATAAAAACAAAAAAAGTTCTATTTTATATTCTAAAAAATGTGCACATGTGGAAATGATGGGTACACTTAAAGCACAGACTTCTTTGCCTCTGTACAATGCAACCACAAAACCAAAAACTATTTGTATCCCCTAAGCTATTGAAATAAAGAAAAAAAAAATGTGTGTGCATAACAGGGGCAAGCAGATGAATAGCAAGCAGAGTTCAATCAGTCTTTCTATTTATGACTGCCCCTAACTTATAAATAAATTTATAAATGAAAAGTTGCTATGACATTACTATTGAAAATTCTGAAAAATAAAGGTAAAATTAGTCTTAAACTCCAGTAGTGTGATGAGGCATAGCTGTCTATTTACTGCTGTGATCCAAGCTGTTGCCACAACGCAGGCATTTGACAAATATTTGTGGAATTAATACATCTTTTTTGGGGGGGGAGTGTTCAGAGTCTTGCTCTGTTGCTCAGGCTGAAATGCAGTGGCATGATCACTGCTCACTGCAGCCCAAACTCCTGTGTTCTAGTAATCCTTCTACCTTGGCCTCACGAGTAGATAGCACTACAGGCGTATGCCACCACACCTGCCAATTTTTTTTTTTTTTTAATAGAGGCGAGATCTCACTATGTTGCCCAGGATGATTTCAAACTCCTGGCCTCAGATGATCCTCCCATCTCAACCTCCCAAAGTACTGGGACTATAGGAGTGAGTTATTGCACCTGGCTATATTTATAGAATGAATATATCCTAACCTCCAAATAATCTTCATTTCTAAGTAATCCCTTCTAGTATCTGTCATAAATATATATATTTAGAGTTATAATTCTGACATACTAAGTGGTATACTTTTTGGCTTAACATAAAATAAATATTTTTATGTTTCTGCCAATTTTTATAATTGTGATTTTTTTGGGGGGGAGTTAGGGTCTCTCTGTCACCCAGACTACAATGCAGTGAAGCAATCTCAGCTCACTGCAGTCCAAATTCCTGGTTTCAAGTGATCCTCCCACCTCAGCCTCCCAAAGTGCTGGGATTACAAGCATGAGCCACCATGCCTGAATATAATGATAATTTGTAATAGCTGCATAATATTCCATTATGCTAGTTGTTATAATTTACCAATCTTGTCCTCTATTGTTAAGCATTTAGGTTGTCTCCTCAGTATTTTTGCTATTACATCTAATGCTACAATGAACACCACTGCAAATAGCACACTTTATTTTTCCTGAAATTTACCAAAAAAGTGAAAAAACAGAGGCAACTGAAATAAATATTTTATGGCTATTTGCTCTATATGATCGTATTGACTTCCAAATTGTTGAACCACCTACAATGCTATCACCCATAATGTCTAACAGTTTGCTGCATTCTCCCCCAGGATTTTTTTTTTCTAATCATACATATAAAATTCTAAGTCCAAAGTCTCTTTAGTTTCTGTTGTTGTTAGTGAGAAAGTACCTCCGTAATGCGCTTCTTTACTGGCCTTTTTCTAATGTAAATTTTCTGTTGTGTGGGTCCTTTCTATTTGCATAACAATGTTTTAAAAATGAAAATCAGCTCTTTTATATATAACAAACACTAATATTTTTCAATCCTGCTTAATGTACTCCTAAGTCCCTTCTCTTGTCCTTTTACTTCTGATTTTGTTTCTGTTCACTATTTAGAGATTATGTATACACATCAGTACGTCTTTTTTCTTTGTGACTGCTTCACAAATCCAACCAGACTTATGAACTATTCCATTGTTTGCTGGTTTGGATTTTTTAAATTTTTCACTGAACAAATGTAAAAGAAAGTCTCTAAACAAATTTTCTCTACAGTGCTATGCAGTGTAATGAATTATACAGACCTATTTTTAAAAGTCAACAATTTTGTTCAACATTGTCTCTAGTATAGAAAGAGTCTTTTACTCTACCTAAGGAAAAAAACAACATTTATAAACGAGGACTCAGGTTCACAGTAGTGTTTCCTGTAGCCTCCTTGTTCCTGAGACACATTGAGTCATGCTTGCTGTCTCTGTGCTGTTCACTCACTGACTTCTCTTTCTGAGTCAGAAAACACACCCTCTGGTTTATCAGTTTGCTAGAAAGAACATGGCCTTCAAGTCCTGCTCACATTCCCCAGCTCTGTTTTCCTACATTGCAGCTGTCTACTGACCATTGCTTTTTAAACTACTCTGTTCTATATCAGTGGTTTCCAATGTTGCCTGAAAATCAGACTGCCTGCTGAGTACTTTTTTTTTTGAGAAAGCAGGATTCATTGAGAGGACAGAAAAGCTCCAGTGGGAGGGGACTCGAAGGGGTCTGAGCACTTTTTAGCAACAAACACCAGATGTCCCCTTGGAGATTCTGATTCAGGAAGTCTAGCAGGGCTTTTCCCTTGAATGCAACCAGGCACTGACCTTATCACACTTATTTGTACAAATGTTCCCCTGAACCTAAAAGTGGATTTTAAAGAATTAGCAATTCTCCAATCTTTAATAACTTCATCTGCTTATAAGGTAAGAAATAGAACATTTTTTAATCTAAACTCCCCAAGTCAGAAAAATTACAATAAAAGAAAATAGCATGAATTCAGGACTTACAGTCTTAACATCATTTTCATGGTGAAAGATATACTCAAACAATGCCTGTGAAGAAAACAACGTCAGAGATACATTAGATTGTTTTTTGTTTTTTAGATTATATTTTAACAAAGCACTCTAAAGCACTGGGATTTATAGGTAGAGGGTCTAGCCATCCTTTTTTACTGTCATTTTCACTTTTTCAAATAATACTATTTACAGCTGATTCTAATTTTTACAGAATACAAACGGAAAAGCTCAAAGAACTGAACTTTTTTTCACATTATACTAACATACTGTTTAAATTAAAAGGGTTTTTAAACATATATATAATATATATAATTATAAAAATATGTTTAAAAAAATATATATATATCTTTTTTTTTGAGTCAGAGTCTCACTCTGCCACCCAGGCTGGAGTGCAGCGGCACCATACCCGCTCACCACAACCTTGACCTCCTGGGCTCAAGTGATCCTCCTACCTCAACCTCCCGAGTAGTTGGGACTACAGGTATACACTAACATGCTGGGCTAATTTTTAAATTTTTTGTAGAGATGAGGTCTTGCCATATTGTCCAGGCTGGTCTCAAACTCCTGGGTTCAAGCAATCCTCCTGCCTCAGCCTCCCAAAGTGCTGGATTTATAGGCATGAGCTACCACTCCCAGCCAAGAACCATTATTTTTAATACTTCACCCAACTCATCTGAATAAATAAGTAATGGTACAACCTCTTCCCATGATACTACTGTTACACTTGAAAGAGGCTAGCTCCCCTGGAAGATATCAAGATCATTAACAGAGAAGACTTGAAAGCAACCAATTTAACATAAAAACACAAAGAAACAGGACAAGGCCTTTCTTTTAAAAGAAACACTGTAATTGTCTCTCCATTTGTTCTGTTATTAAGAAAAGTTAAGAGTGCAGTTGGTGCTCCCACTGCCATGAAAGGGTTGTTACTACACCCAAGACAGTGTCAGAGTCACCACTGATACCACACGCGAATGCCAATATGAAAACTCAGTCCTAACAGGTCAAGGCAAGGTGGGGGCAGAGACAGAATAACCTGGGTTATTCCTCCAACACACTAAAAGAGCACAATATCTGGTTCAAGCTAAATCTAGCAACAGGCCAGGTCTGTCCTGGATGTATCCTGATTTAATTGAGACAAATGCCCCTGCTGACCATACTCCTGCTTAGAAAATAGCAACGTATCAGTCAGCCGGCCAGTTGCCCAAGTCAATGGCCTTGAAAGGTCAGGAAGCAGAAGTCCATATGCACCACTCATAAAAGAAAGAGGAACATGAAAAGCTTTACAATTCTGCTTTGTGGAGTTGGCCAGATTACTGTGAAACAAGAATTTAAGACAAAGCAAATTTTATAAGTTTAAGCATGATTATAGGCCAATTCTCTGCCTGCCAAAAGGCATTTTCTTTTTCAGATTTAAATTCCAAGTCTGTACAGCTAGTGTCCATTTTTATTTTCCCTACAGAGTTTGATATTTAGCAAACGTATGTTTACACATGTTAAGCTCCACCAGAACTGAGATTTGGAATGAGCTCAGATTCATGCAGAAAGTTCACAGGGATTTTAGTTAAAAACCTGGATTGGACTTAAACCAGTTTCCAGAAGATAAGCACACCTGCCTTGGAGTCATCCCAAGCTCACCTCCAAGATTACAGACACCTTCCTTTCTCTCTCTCTCCTCCCCTCTTCCCCCTCCATTCTTCTCTCCTACCCTCCCCTCTCCTACCCTCCCCTCCCCTCCCCTCCCTTCTATCTCTATCTCTCTCTCTCTCTCTCTCTCTCTCTCTCTGTGTGTGTGTGTGTGTGTGTGTCTCCCTCTGTGCCTCTCATTTTCTCTTTAATTTAAAGGAGCGTTTATCTTTGAGTAGTTATAGTTACTAATATAGTTGCTTGCCACAATCTGGCTTGAGTAATCCTTGTGGAGTTGCCTAATTAATTACTAATTTGGAGAACACATTTTTTTATCATCCTTTTGACATTTCTAAAATCTGACAAGGATAGAAAATTATTTTTCTTGAGAACAGTCCAAGCTAAACACATACACACACACACACACACACACACACACACACACACACATACAGATCACCTGTTAAGCTTCATTCTAGGAAGACGATGGTACACACATGCTTTCTTTGTTATAAATTACTGCTCTTTATCAAAGAAAAAGAATTTCCTGCAATAATGGTATAAGTACTTTATTTCTCAGTGACTTTCTTTAACTCAGTTAAGTCAAAGACTTAAATTTTATATTAGAGAAAATATTTCCATTTCAGTCGAGACATGGCCTTTCCTTTACAAATTTTTATACATTTTCTACAATGTCAGTTTCATCATACTTCAGAACTTAAAGTCATTTTAAGTACATACCTTTGCCAATTTAGGTTTCTGGGAATATTTTGTTAAATTCAGTCTAGATAAATTTATAAATGGTCCATCAGGACTTGTAAGCATGGAAGCCTATGGAAGGAAAACAACAGAAAGAAATCAGAAACTTGTTGAAACCTCAATTAAGTTTAATGTGCATAAAAATCACAAAGGCAGAACCAATAAACAGAATCACTTTCAAAACTCTTCTCTATAATTCTCCATTATAACAACAGTGGAAAATAATGTCACATGACACCAAGTTACTCTGGCAACACAAGGCTACTGGAAAGCTGAAGAGTTTACCGTGCCAAGCCTGACAAATCTCCCAGAGGAGCTGGTGATGGGGCGAGCTGTATAGGCAGTCCTAGGTGTCCTGATGGCCTGTTCCATGGTGCCCGGCCTCCCACTCTGTGTGCTGGGCCTCAGGAACCCTGTGATGGGTCTTCCAGCTTGAGTGACTGGCCTGTGAAGAGAGTAAATTGTTATAATACAAAGAAAGACCAGCAATATCTGGTGGCAGAGGATACAAAACAGAAGCTCACACCTCACAGCTTGACTAGGCCCTCCAGTCTGGTTAGATCCAGGGAGTTTCAAGGATGTTCCAGGGCCTAGGAGATAAGATGAAACATTCCATTTACATGTTATTTATTAATTTATAAAAATTATCAGCTAATGCAATTTTCAGTACTGTGTTGGCCTGGGAAAAAGACATCAACAGCAAAAAACATGTCTCAGGGAATCAAGTTTGAGATTAATATTTAATGAGTACCTATTATGCTGCTTATGCTATCACATTCAATTTTCATGTTAAACCTGTACAGTAGGGAGTATAAACCCATTTAACAAAGGTTTGCAGAACTGAGAAAACAGGTCAAGCTTGTAGTAGAGCCAGAATTCATACTGAACATTAACAGGTTTCAATGTACAAATCTATACTCCTAATTTATTATTTTTCATATAAACTTATCTCAATAAAAGTTAATTTACCCGCAATATCTAGAATTTAGATATTTTAACACTAAGAGAACAAAATAATGGGGAAAAAGTCATCTTAACATGAAGCATGTATACTTTTTCTTCAACTTCCATTTGAAGCTTCAAAACAGTTATTACCTTCCAAAATATACACGACTGGGAACCACATCAGCTAATAAACCCCAGCAAGACCCCCACACATTATGGTCATCACCCAATACTACAGGCACCACCACATCTGGGAGCGGGGTACGGGGCTCTGTGACAAGCCTCATAGACATTCACAGTCCTCACGCCAGCTCACCACCTCATGCACAGCTTGGAGCAAGTTACCTTCCAAATCCCTCCAACCAAGGGATACTGTCTAATGATGATTTTTCACGAAATCCTTTTAGAACACTTCTATTGCTTGGATGCTTCCCAGATTCATAATCTTCTGATATATTAGACACGAAGTTAAAATAGATTGCAGGCCAGGTGCAGTGGCTCACGCCTATAATCCCAGATTTTGGGAGGCAGAGGTGAAAGGACTGCCTGAGCCCAGGGGTTCCAGCCCAGCCTGGGCAACTTGGTGAGACCTCGTCTCTACAATAAGTCAAAAAATTAGGCAGCCTACTTAGAAAGCTGAGGCAGAAGGATTGCCTAAGTCCAGCAGGTTGAGACTGCAGTGGCCATAAATGTGTCACTGCACTGCAGCCTGGGCGACAGAGAGACACTCCAACTCAGAATTAAAAAATAAAATAAAATAAAATAGATTGCATTTTTATAAATTACTTTAACAATGCATAATATAGCTTTTATTGGAAAATAGTTATACATTAATCTCACACCTTAAGTTTAAGATAATATAATAGAATCGTGGGGGAACAAGCCTTTATGCCATAAGGCAGAATAGAAACTATTTACTTGAGGTAATGTCTTTTTTATGTATATATGTTCATGTATGTATTTTTCATGTATGTTTCATATACATAATATTTATGTATATTCCTACATATATATAAAGTATAGACATATAGAGATATCTATCTATGCATATTTCTTGTATACACAGTATTCCTCCTCCCAGTAGCATCTCATTAGCTGAAAACCCAACACGTACGTGGAACTTGAGCAATGGCATTCTCATCCAGAATCATCTCTGCAATTCCCTCCAGATCCACATCGATCTCATCCACATACACCATTTCAGTCAGTGCTCGTGCTTTTAAAATCCAAACTGCCTAAAAACCATGAATAAACAAGCATTAGAAACACTGCATCGCTTCTAGAAGCTGATACCCCTTTATTTCTATTATTTCATTTCTTACTAAACATGTCTAATAAACATGCATTATTATATTGTAAAAGACCAATATAAAAAACAAATAAAAGTAGGAAAGGTCATTATTAATCAAGAAACAACCAATGTATCAACTGCCTGGTAAATAAAAGTGTGATATTACCTGGTAGTCTTCTAACACTCCTTTTTATAAGTAAAAGATCTTTAGAGGAAAATTTTACTAAAATAATAATTTGAAGACAAATGAATAAAGTGACAGTCACAGTGTTTTTTCTGCCTTCCTCCTTCAGGGCCATGTCCTTCACAAAGCCATCCCTGGGTCTGATTCTAAACCTACCACTTTTTCTCACAGAGAATTCTTCTCATATCTCTATCATTGCACCTAACCATAGTTGACAAGCACTATGATTATTTGGACAAACGTTAGCTTCCCTTCCCCGGAATGCAAGCTCTTATACCTAGCTCACTTTTGAATTTTCCATAATGCCTATGGCTTCAAGAAATGTTGGTTGAATTAATCCAAGATCAATTCCCAGTAACAAAAAAACACTGGCTGCTTTGTGATCTAGTCAGCAAAACTCCTGCTAGACAGTAGGGGGAGATAACTGAGGAATCTAACCTGGAAAGTATCAGCTTCACTTTACCTAGAAAAATTCAACATAAAGGTGAGCACAATTCAATTTCTTGTAAACATATGAAACTGCTTTATCAAAGGATTTTACCTTTCTGCTTCACTAATAGAACAGCAGCAGAGAACATGAACCCCAGCATCCTGTGGAGGATTTGGGGAGAAGCAGCACAGAACTAGCTAGCAGCACAGAACTAATTCCAGAGCCCAGAGGAAGGGGCAGCAAGGAAAATCTGGGGAGGAACTCAGGCTCAGTATACCAGGCACATGGCTGTGAAGCAGGCTGAGTGAAGGCTAAGAGCAGGGAGAACAGAGGAGAGCTACAGAAGGTCTGAAAAGTCTTCCATGAGGAGGCCAGGACACACTCACTCAGTCAATCTATGGTCACTGAGCACTCCTAGCTCAACAGCATCAGGCTAGCCTCTGAGAAGGAAACCCGAGAAGATTAAAACGGGGATTCTAATTCCCTGTACACATCACCTGGATTGAGTGCCTGGCAAAGCGGTGTGAGTTGATGCCAAGTGTGTGTGGTGGAGAAAACAGGTTTCATGCAGACTGGAAAGTGAAGACCCTCTTGTGGGCTAACATAACTGGGGTGCATGCATGAACATTCTAAAAGAAAAGAATCGTGAACATAAAGCAGCCTGCCTACATGATATAGCTAGGTTCCAACAGTGAAATTAGATTGCTTAGATACTTAGCTTTTGGATGCTACTTTTCTGGTGAAGGTTTACTGGATTCCTATTAAATAATTTAGGACAAGATGTCTCAATTGTCATGTGTGACTTTAGCACATTTGAGTAGAATATGCATAGAATATGCACTCAAAAACTAATTTATTTGTTTAAAAAAAGATCACTACCAACAGGAACTGCGTCTAGTTGTGGGAGAAGTATAGAAGCATTATGGAAGTATAGAAAAGCTCAGGCAAGCCGGTAGGTTTCTGCAGCCTTCCGGGGCTCAGGGCCAGCCACACCAGCTGGTACTAAGGCTTCATTTAGCTTCAATGATGGAAATAAGCAATCCCAACTGACTTTAATCTCCACCCTTCATACACCCTGCAAGTGTCTGCTAGCTTTTACTTTCCAAAAGTGCATTCTCTGCACGGCACTCACTTGGGCTCTGCTGGTCCCTCCCACATCCCTAGGGCGTACCTACTGTGTGCACATCCTGGCGATACAAAGATAAGGACATCATGGCCCTAGTTCTAACATGACAGAATCTCTGTCATGGGAAAAATGTCATAACAAAAATTAAAAACAGGGCCAGGCATGGTGGCTCACACCTGTAATCCCAGGGCTTTGGGAGGTCGAGGCAGGAGGATCGCTGAAGCTCAGGAGTTTGAGACACAGTCTCCACAAAAAATAAAGTTAGCTGGGCATGGTGGCACATGCCTGTAATCCCAGCTACTTGGGAGGCTGAGATGGGAGGATGGCTTGAGCCCAGGAAGTTGAGGCTGCAGTGAGCCATGATAGTGCCACTGCACTGGAACCTGAGCAAGAGTGAGATCCTGGCTAAAAAATTAAATTAAATTAAATTAAAAAACAGAAGAACGTGCTGTGAGAGGGCAGAGGCAAGGCGCCCAGTTGCCTGAGGTTCATGGAAGGAAGGAAGAAAGCATGGAAGAGAAGACCTGGACCCAGAGGCTAGGCAGAGAGGGGAAGGCCAAGGACAGAGGCAGGCCGGCTACTGGGCCATGCATGTTTGGAAACCCAAAAGAGGTAAATATGGTTGAGGGAGCAGGTTCAGCTGAGGAAGCAGTTGGACAGGCTGGGAAGGGCAGGGACCAGGTGCCACAGTGAGGCTGTGAACTTTCTACCTGGCAACAAGGAGCTCCTGAGCCTTCAGAGCTAAGATTTGAAGTCCTACTCAAATCAGGTTTCTAAATGCCAAGATGTGTGATTATATTACCAGCTGTATAGTGGGCTATTCATTATCCATGCACACATTTTATTTTTACTATGTTCAAGTTCATACTGTTATCTCAGAGTCCAATCCATCACACTTCTTGATATCCATCCTATACCATGACCTCTTAAATATTAAAGAGGTACAAATGTTGTATATTAGCCTAAGCAAAACATCAGAAAGAAAATCCTTCCCTGTCAGATAAATAGACTCCAGAAGTCAAATAGGAACATCTTTTTAAAAATTTTATTCCATAAGAATCCACTTTTTCAAAAAGGTAAATAAATGTATATTTGTTTCACATTTCTAAAATCTAAGTCTTAAGAAACAGAAATGATGGTAGATTTTTGATATTTAAATATCTGTAATAAAATCGACTTAAACTATCATTCAGTTTCAAATTCAATCAGGGTTTGAGAAAATTAATCTTCCTGACTTTCCCTCTGTCCTAACAAAAAATGACCTTGAAAATCACATATCACTGCTTGATTAAACATCAGACTGTTTTCAAAGAACTGCTCCTGGCAATAAGAATGATTCTTGAGATTTTAATGAAAACAGCAGATGGGGCTTTGGCTTTAAAAAAATAATAAAATTTTTCAATTTTGGAAACAAGCCAGGTATGTTTTACAACCCTGAAATCCTCTGCCTATTAAAAAAAATAATAAACAAAAAAAATGTTCAAAACTAATCAGTGATTAAAATAAAATGTATGACAAAGCCCAGACAGTAATCCCAAACTCCCCTTGAATCTGAGTAAAAATATAAGTTCATTTTTCAAATATGTTTAACTTATCAATAAATGGTAGATCATCAATTTTTAAAAACAGTTATTTCTGTAAATTTATGTTAATATCTATGTATTAAAGTATTGTATTATCAACAAAAGTAAGAATAGATGCTCAGGAGGATTTTTTAAAAAGGAAAAGCGCAGATTCTCTCAACTAAATGAACAATCATCATATCAATTACCTCCCCATCATAACACAATATCTATAGGACATCACTCTTGAGGCCAAAACCTGCCAGAGAACATCAGGACAATACTGACTTTCTTGTTCTGCCTTCTGTGACATTAATCCAATTTTAGTTATGAAAATAAACATACGAAGAGGTAAAAACTCTGCTGACCGAGCAAAACATGTTTAAATTATTCTGCTCCTCTTAATACAGAATGCAAGGCCAGTAGTTTAAAATGGTGAGAAACAATTTTGCTAGGTTATTCGTAGAATAAGGCTACCAAAGGAACAGTCCATCTGTCCTGATTTAGACTTCATAAGAATCAGTACCAACTGATACTCTCTGCCTACTCTAAGAAACGAACACTTAGGCACAAAATATTGAATTGCTATGGAAAAGTCTCATTTCTTTTGAAGTTATTAAAATGCACAACAGAAGAAATCCAAAAAATGTGAACAGTGAGGTCAAAAGAAACCAGCCCACCATGTCCTGTTTTCGATCATTATCCAGTGGTTAATTAAGTCCACGGTAACAGAACATGAAAGTAATGCAAATCCAGGTGCTTCAGGGAGCCCCTGTGCTAGTCTGAAACTTTGAGATACAATCTACAGTTTCAAAGCCATTTCTACAATACAAATCATTAATGTTTTAACTTAATTTTAATCAAAAACTTCCAAATTTCCTAAGAACAAAAACGACATTACTTATCATTTAGACCCTTCCTGAATGACTTGTACGTATATTATGCAAAAAAAACCCCAGTTGTTCCCCATCTATCAGTTTGGAAATCAAGATTATGACCATTCAAAAGACACTTCATCCTTTTAAAGAACAGTCACATTTCAGCCTGTTGACAGTGTTTGCTTAAGACTCCACAGGATCCATCAAAGGACTTGGTAAAATACTTTCTATTCAAAAGGTTTGATGATTACTCATATGAACCCTGCATGAGGGTCAAGTCACTTCCTTACTTAAAAACACTGTTCTCATTCCATCCACCTGGCAGGGCACACACCTGGCCATGTCATGCCCTCTGATGCCTAGCTCTCCATATCCCTCCTCTTGACTCACAGAATCACTGGACACTCAGGCTAAAAGTTTCACTGGCCAGGTGTCCCCATCTCTACCACACCTGCCCTCCCCCAAGGCTTCCTTCCAGTTCATTCCCTTGTGTCTTATCCAGGTGGCAAGTCTCTCAGGCTGTCTCCTCAACCATGTTGATCCGGTAGACCTGGCTGCCTGGCCAGTATTCCTCCCTCCATCCTTTTCTCCTTCCTTCCTTTCCTTCTTCCTTCTCTCTCTCTTCCTCCTTCCATCCCTTCTCCCCCCTTCCCTCCCTCCTTCCTCTCTAGCTCGTTCCTCTCCTTCCCTCTCTTCTTCCTTCTTCCCTCCCTCCCCGGCTTCCTTCCTCACTGCTGTGGCAGGTTCCTCCCTCCAAAAGCCGCCTGGTCAGTTAGAGTTAAGAACTTTCTTTACTCAAGACATGCTGTCCTATCCCTCAGCCCTGCCAGACACTGTGGCTCTGTGGACTCCCTGGCTCCTTTTCTTTTTTGGGTTGGAGTCTCACTCTGTCACCCAAGCTGGAATGCAGTGGTACACTCATGGCCACCGCAGCCTCGACCTGCTGGGCTCAGGCGATCCTTCCACCACAGCCTTCCAAGTAGCTGAACTACAGGTAAGTGCCACCAGACCTGGTTAATTTTTTATTTACTGTAGAGATGAGGTCTCGCCAAGTTGCCCAGACTGGTCTCAAACCCCTGGGCTCAGGTGATCCTCTTGTCTCAGCCTCCCAAAGTGCTGCGATTATAGGTTTGAGTCACCGCGTCCAGCCTCTGGCTCCCTTTCTAACCCACGACTCCCCTCACCACCTTCTTTCTTCTTCTCAGCCTACTAGTTGATCTTAGTCATTTCTATTGAAGCACCTAGTCTTAATGAGTAGACTGCAGTAGTTCTACAAGGCTATTCATACACACAGAAGAACTGAAAATATAATCGTTTATTACGTAAGGAGGTACAGAATGTCTAGTAGATATGGCTAATTTTATAACACCACAAGTAGTGGTGTTATAAAATATAAAATGTTCTAATCTATAGCAACAACCAAGTAACAGCAATGACAGTATTCTCTAAAGATTGCAGCTACATCTTTCTTTACCTGAGACACTGGCAATTCAGGATCTGGTCCCTGCAAAGCATTAAAAAAAATAGTAAACACTTTTAAGAAATACAGTTTTTAAAATAAAAAGTCTTAATGACTAGCCAAGTATTTGTAGGTGAACTCTTAACTCATTCAACAAAAATCCAAAAATTAACAGTAATCTTCCCCTACAAGTGCTCTTGTCTCAAGAATTCTGAAAAACTAATATACACCAAAGAGTGCTATATTTTAACCTCAACTACTTATTTAATGAGGACAATACATCTCAGAAATTATGAATAATTCTGTAACTGTACCAAGGAAACATTTCCTTAGATTCAAGAATAAGTTCATGATGGTTAAAACATTCCGAATTTAATTACTTAGGAAGGAGAAGGAAAATCCAAACAATATGAACCCCTCTAGTACATCTAAATATAATGGGATTATGGCCAACAATAAGAAAATAATTCTGACTGTAATGTCCTCTAAGATATTTTTATAAATAAACTATATAATATGCATTAGTGCCAGATCATCTCAGCATGTGAGTTTAAACAGAAACCTACTGGTTAAAAAATCAAACTTATAACAAATTTATTTATAAAACATCTACATTTACATGTTTAGTCAGCAGCATCTGCTGAGCACTTAACCTGGAGCATGTTTTATTGGGGAAACGACTAAGCAACAGAAAAAGGAAAAAAAAACAAAAAGAACCCTTGCTTTCTATGGCTCTAAAATCCAAAAAAGAATATCCCAAATATCTTTAAGACTATTATTGGTACCCGCAGTGTGCAAACTGGTCACCATCTAAAGAGAGACTATTTATTTAGCATGATAAATGGCAAGCACGAGGGGAAAAGGCTAAGCTAAGCTGGAAAGTGAGGCCCAGGGGTTGGAATTTTAAGAAGATTTGGCAATCAACTGAACAGAGCACAGAAGAGCAACTAGGCTGTGTGTGGTAGCTCATGCCTATAATCCTAGCACTTTGGGAGGCTGAGACAGGAGGACAGCTTGCACCTTGGGGTTCGAGACCAGCCTGGGCAACATAGTGAGACATCATCTTTACAAAAAATCAAAAACTTGGCCAGGCATGGTGGCACATGCTTGTAGTCTCAGCTACTCAGGAGGCTGAGGTGGGAGGATCTCCTGAGCCCAGGAAGTCAAGGCTGCAGTGAGCCCTGATGTGCCACTGCACTCTAGCCTGGGCAGCAGAGTAAAACTTAACTCAAAAAATAAGTAAATAAATAAATAAAACCAAAAAAGCAACCAGAGAGCACACAGCGGCTGGAAGCTTTTGACTCCAGTGTGCACAGGGGCCTGGTAAAACGACAGGTTTGCTCAACTAGATCCACACTTAAGGGAAACACATGGGCAGGTAACGAAACAGCAACAGTAACCTTCTCTTGGTTACTTGTATACATATCTATGCAGCCCATTACCACATATGAGTGACACAACAACCATCTGGGGGAAGAGGGTACTGTTACCTGTCTCACAGATGAGGCAAATTCAGAGATAAGTCATTGGTTCAAGGTCACACAATGGAAGAGAACAGCAGGTGCTCTTTCTCACCAGTGCCTCTCAGAGATTTAAAAGAATGAGCTGGAAGCAAGAAGGCAGGACTGGAGGGTAAGGTTCAGGAAAGACAGAAGATGAGCCCGACACAGGGAGGGGGTCACCGGGGTGTCTGTAGATGGTGCTTGAGAAGGAAGAGAGAACAGCTAAGGAGATGGACACCACTGAGGCCAGGTACTGCCAGATGCCGGCGTGTTCCTCAGGACCAACCTGAAGCCACCAGCTTGGCCTTGAGGGATGTGCTCGCTGAAGTCTCCATGACCTGGCTGGTGTGTTCCTCGGCCCTTAAGGAATATGCTCAGGGCTGACTGTAGTGAAAGGCATGCCAGGAAATGACAGAAAGCCACCGTGGGGAGGTCAGAGAAGGAAAGGGAGGCCTAGAGAGTGGGGGTGTGGAAGCAGGGAGGCCAGTGTGGATGGAAGATGGAGACGAGGCCTGAGTGAGTAGGAGGCCGAGAACACAATCGTGCCACAGCAACCTCCTGGCACCCCAGCCAGGCACTAAAAACATTCCATGGGGAAAGGTACCTCATTAAATAAATCACAATGCAATGTGTCAACTTTACATTCACATGAGGGAAGAATTATAGATGACTGGGGGGGAGGAAAGGAAAGACTTGGGAGAGAAAAGAGGCAGAGAAAGGGGAGATGATTCTGGAAATCAAGTGCCAAGGATTTATGAACTCCATTCAGCATCCTTTCACCATCCATTTCACACTAGCCATTTTCCTCACAAACACTTTCCAGATTCCCAACAATCCCTTAAGATAAATATAAGCAACAGAGTCCTGCATGCAAATCTCCAGCTGTGTTTATACAAAGACCACAGCAGCTCATGTCTAAACCCTTAACAAATCTTACAACAACCCTGTGAGTTACCACCTCCATTTACAGATGAGACAATTCTGAGGTCAGGGTGTGGAGGCAGAACTTGAACCTAGACACTCTGGGTCAAGGGCGGCACATTGCTAGGTGTGTGAGATGACAGCCAGGATGGAACAGAGACTCTCACAGGATGCACAGAGACCAAGGACAGGGCGTGGCTCCACGGAGATCCACCAGGGGCAGGGCTATGAGGGGACAAAGTCAGCATCTTTTAATTTGAAGAGAGGGCACAACTCTTTTAAAACAATCCCTGAGGCCGTCCTTCACCTTTGGGTCTCTCTAAATTACAGTTTTGTGACTTAAGTGAATCCACCCTCTAGGGAACCACAAGTTCGGTTCAGCTGGTCTAGCAAACTATTTTGATGGTATCAACACAGTTTCCTGAGGAGAAAGCTCCAGGCCGTGCCCCGGAGTCAGAAGACCTGGGCATCCCCAAGAGCCTCTTGGCTGCACGACCTTGAACAAGTCATACAACCTTGGAGCAATCTTATCTCCTTTACAGGTGAGTCTTCACGACTAATAACAAAACCTTGCATTTTTAAGTATCCTTCATAACTTTTAGAGTTCTTCCACATATACTATCACATGTATTCAAATATAAGGTTAGAAGAAGAACCAAATCATCTACTACTGACCTTTCCAGAACTCAGAACTGACCCCCAGTTGTGGCAGATCCAATTCAAACTCACCTCTGATTCGCTCTCAAAGCAGGTAAGAGGATACAAAGCCGAGTGCCACAACCAGGACTAGCAAACACTCATCATTCAGTTACTCATCCGCTTCCTTCTCCCTCCCCAAGGTCTTAGGGTGTTGCTGTTACTTCTGAGAATTCAATCTCCAGAAACTTCTGAAGGCAACATCCTAATTGCCACCAGTGTTAACGCTGGCCAATGAGTCTACTCAGCTCTACCCTTACACTGGGTCATTATTCAGAACTAGGGAAAAAATGTTAGGAGATGAGGAATGAATGGAGCCCAGAAGGTGAGGGAGATCTGGCCAACCACGATCCAGGTAGCAATGTAATCTGTGTAATTCAGCAGAGATACATATGCATAAAACGACCTGCCCCACCGTGCACCGAGTCTAAGGATTAAGTCTGGCTAAGTCTCCATGGCCCCTGGAGGAAACAAACTAGATAATTATATACAAAGACACATTTCTTAGCTTGGAACACGAAATCATTGTCTCAACCAATAACTAACACGGAGTTCACTGGGATCCTAGTTCCGTATCTTATATCTAAGCCAGGGGCTTTCGGCCATCACTCCAACTTCAAGCCATTAATAATAATAGCCCTTGCCTCTCTGTGACATCTCTCATTATAAGCAGAGATTGGAACAGGGGAGGAAAACATGAATTAGCTTGCAGCTCACAGATCTACCTTCAGGATGGCCAACATCCTCCAAAGACCTACCTGCCCCACTAATAAAACGAGCCCATTAACAAAAGCACACTGTCTTCTAACCCCACTGCTTGAAAAACCTTCATGGTCTATGAACTTTAATTATAATGGAGCTGAAAACTCAGGCCTGGGCTTAAAGCCCTGTATCTGACATATGGAACACAGGGCAGTAATCGGATTAAGCGACTAATCAGGATGATCAACAGGAGCGGGGCCAGCGAGCATTCCCTCGGGGTCACAGGGCTGTGGAGGACAGCCTCTCACTGCCTCCTCTTCAGTTGTAGACCTCCAGCCACTTCTTCACTCCCAATAAGCGGACCTTGATAAGTATTATCATAATACTCTAAGAGAGGGATTGGCAGTAGTGGGAAACTGCCAGGGGAGGGAAGGCACACTTCATCAACAAGGGTACCTGCATCATGAACATTTGTATAACTATCCCTGAATCGTACCTCACATCTTTTAAATAAAAAATTTTAAAAAAGAATACTCTAAAAAGACAATGCTCCTCTATGAACTGGTTATTCTTACCATATTTCATCCAAAAGGGGAAATGATGATACATTCACTGTCTAGCCCTCTTTCTTTGTTCTTAACAGATCCAAACTGTAATGTCCTTCATGCTTGCAGACCTGACACTCTCTCCCTCCTCATTCTGTGTCTGGGAAAAACAGTTCAGTCCATGTTTTTCTGGAACCTTCTCAGAACCAACACCGTACTCTTATCTTCAATCTACCCTCAGTTCTTTTGAAGTCAAATAAAAATGTGTCACTCCAGGAAACCCTACCCCATGGTACATCATCACACCTTTCTGGCTAGCCTGACTACCCTGACTTTGGCAAGAACCAAGAATAAAATCTAGATGTGGCAGAAAATACAAGGCACTAATGAAAGATTTTTGATGCTCCTATACCAAAATGGCATACTGTAAAGGGGGAATAAATAAATATGAAACAATCTTGGAGGTGGGCTGAGTCTTGACAGGCTGGTGTATCAGGACCAAAGTGCTCTTACTCTTTCTGAAGCTCTCTGATCCAGCTTTAAAAAATGGTTAACCAATAACAAATCATTTGAGATGTTTTCCTTGTCCAGAAGAAAAATAAGTATAACCACAAGGGAAAAGTAACATTATTAAAAACAAAAGCTATCTTTCATTTGAGGAAGAAGGAAAAAAAAGCAA